CGATGCCCCGTTGCCTCTCTGGCCACGTCAGCGCTGGCACGTCTTAAGTCGGGCCTGTCCCTCTACAGGAGGGATATTCCAAAGTAGTCGACAAAACGTCGGTGGACGATGCTTTGAGTACGTTTTGACTATGCTTGAAAATGTTTCAGGGAGCTTGTGATCTTTCGTCCAAAATCCACCTGTAGGAGGACATGCCCGACCTAAGGCACGTCCCTTCCATGGCGTAGCCAAGTGCGCGATGGGCGCTCCTCCGTCCACACGGTGCCGAACATCACCGCTTCCTGGGCCGCTGCTCTTTCAGTGGCGCTCGGTGCATCGCAGGAGAGGGGGCGCACCCGAGCGACCCGGAGGGCTCCGAGGGGGCGCGGGGGGGCGGGGTGCTCCGAGGGTGGCGGGGGGGGAGGCAAGGAGAGGAGGGGGGAGAGGGATCAGGAAGAAGAGGCGAGGGAAAGGGGCAGGAGCGGCGGAAGAGTTGGGGGGAGTCGAAGGCACGTGAGTCTTCCGAGAAGCCGCCGCCTGTTGGTTCGTGGTTCTGGGGTGCTGACACACTTTTTGTGTACACAGCTGTCGTTGGCCAGCCGTTGCTTGGGTTTGAGACACTTTGCGGGCAAGGGAGTGTTACATCATCGCCAGGTCAAACGCCCAATCGTTCTTGACGTCTCACATCTGCCTCCGTATCCTCCACGGCCTTTTCCATTGCAATCCTCGTCATTAGTTCTGCGCCCTTCTGTGTACACGGGTCTGGTTACGCGAGGTATGGGAATCCTTTTGTGCTTACGCGCGGTATTGGAATCCTTTTTGTTCAGACCCTTGCACGACAGGATTTGCTCACTCGGGCGCTGTAAACCTTGGAGGCCTTTTTCCGCACAATTCAAAAAGAGACCGCACCGAGGGTACCTACGCCGAGTCTGACAACGAGGAGGACGAGAAGAAGGAGCCAATTTAGCATTTGACCCTCGACTTGCATTTAGATACATACACGCGAGAATCTGCATTCTCCTCCACCGTTCGGCCCGACATTGCTCCAACACATCGAGCCCATCCTTCCAAATTTGGACACCGTAGAAGCTGCGACCATGCCGACGACGAGCACTTGACCTAGGGAGACCGAGGCGGGACTCGCGAGTGTACAACGCCAGTGGCATGGCATGGCTTGGGGCTGCGCCCAGGGAGCCCCCAGAGGAGTGGAACAAGCAATGACATCAATTTAAACACTCTGAGTTCCGCGCGGATTTCTTGCATCGGCGCTGGACACCCCTCCCTGGCACGCGGAGCGCGCCAAGGGCGGCGCCAGAGGCGCCGCCAGAGGGCCCCAGCGCCGATCCGAGGAATCCGCGCGGACCCCCGAGTTTTTAGTGTTTATGTCATTGCTTGTTCCCCTGATGCGGTCCCCGCCAGCCTCAGCACGCCCCCAGGGCAGCCCGGGGCGGCCCCGACACCCCAGCCCGCGGGTGCGAAGTGTCCCTTTGTGAGTCGCCGGAGGCGGCGCGGTGGGTGTCGAGACCGCCCCTGGCTGCCGAGGGGGTCTGCCGAGGCCGACTGTGCCCACATCGTGGGGTGCTGCCTGTGCGCAGCTCCAGGCCTCGACCAAACGCCAGGCACTCGGAGGAGAACGAGGTACCCAATACTGCTACCCGGGCCTCGGTCTCCCCCTGTTTGGGGCCACCTGGGTGGTCCTCGAAGCCCCCGCTGGATTCGCCCCGAAGCTCTTGTCAGAGCGCACCCCAGGAGAGGTCCGAGGAGTAGTGGTATTGGTACTTTTTGGGAGCCCTAGGTTGTCGTGCTCGAGCTCGCATTGGAAACAAGGAAAAACTTTGGGCACCCTGGAGAGAGGCGATGATCCTCAGGACGTGTGTTAGCCAAAGGCGTGTCTACCCGTGCAGCTCCACCGCTGACACGCAGAACGCTTCTGCTCTCGTTGCACCGCCTGCGTCGTATCGAAGGGCCTCGGTGGACAACACACACACACACACACGTTACCGCCAGCACACGTTCCGAGGAGAACGGAGGGGGGCATGGTCGGGGAGACGACGCTGTCGGCGTCGTCCCCGTATGGCCCTCTCGCGCCGCGTCACGGGGCGCACCCGCCGCTCAATTACGACGACGACGACGACGACGACGACGACGACGAGGACAACGACGACGACGACGACGACGACGACGACGACGACGAGGACAACGACGACGACGACGACGACGACGACGACGACGACGACGACGACACGACGTGTGGGAGGCTCGGCCTTCAAACGGACTGTTCTGGGGCAGCTGGTCGGCGAAGAACTTCTGCACAGCGCCCCAACGTCGAGGGGACCGGTCTCGGAAGCTCAGTCTCAAGAGGTGGACGATGGAGGCGGAGTTCCCGCTGAGACGCAAGCCCGCACGCAGAGCGCAGGTGGAATCGTTGTGGCGCGAGCTCGGCGCCCACACCAGCAGTGCCCAAGGGTTTGCTGGGCGCGCTGGGCAGCCTCGCCGCTGCGCTGCGCGTCTCTTTGGGCGCAGCCGCCGACGAGAAATGAGCTTCTCGCCGTGGAGGGAGCGGGCCCCGATGGAGACGGAGCCTGGACCCCGTGGCTTTTCCCGGGGCCAGCCTCCCCTGGACGGCCCCAGGACCCCCCAGCCGGTGAGAAGTTCCGATGCCCGCTTCCTCCGGGGCCCCTCTCCCTCCACGGGGAGCCCACGGGGCTCGAGCTCGCTGGCAGATGCCGGCTCGCGCCACTGGCCTGGCGCAGCGCCTCCACGCACGCTCCGCGCGGTGCGGGCTCCTCCTCCTCCGCCTCCTCCTCCTCCTCCTCCTCCTCCTCCTCCTCCTCCTCCTCCTCCTCCTCCTCCTCCTCCTCCTCCTCCTCCTCCTCCTCCCTCCCCCTCCCCCTCCTCCTCCTCCTCCTCCTCCTCCCCTCCTCCTCCTCCTCCTCCTCCTCCTCCTCCTCCTCCTCCTCCCGAAGCACCAGCGCGCGCGCGCGCCTGACGCTGCCTGGCACTCCGTTGCCTCGTCCCTGCGCCTGCGTCGTGAGTGAGCACCGGTGGAGCCCGCCCTCCCCCGGGTGAACAGACCACAAGCCGAACCCGCGATCTATTGATACCAGTATCCGCGCTGCCCCCGCAGGAATTCGGAGATTGCTTCTGGTATCGTGTTCCTACCGCGCGCTTCTCGCGCCAGTATGATTGCCCAAGTTCGGGCGCAGGGGCGCTGTATTCACAGTTACGCGAATCCGTCCCTTCTTTCTCTGTCTCTCTCTCTCTCTCTCTTTCTCTCTCTCGCTCTCTCTTTCTCTTTCTCTTTCTCTCCCTCCGCTAATTTGGGGCAGTGGACACTCGACGTCCTCAAGTCGCCGTGTTGGATCCTCGGCCCATTGACCACTCTTCCTTGGAAGCGCGACTGCAGCGGCATGAACCATATGAACTGCCCTCGGCTGATCTGCCCGTCGGTCTCCCCTCGCCTGAAGAAGATGCCACCCTGCAGCACGTCAAGAAGCTCAACAAGAAACGGGCCAAGGAGCTGAGGAAGCAGCAGAAGAAGATCCGGATCACGGACAAGAAGGAAGGCTCGAGCTCCGACGAGGAGAGCCCGCTCGTTCTGGCTTTCAGGGAGGGGGAGGGACAGCGGACGCTAGCGCGCGCGTAGCGCATGCCCGAGGATTTGCTAGAAGGCATGGCGGCAATCGCAGTCCAGGCGAGATGGACCGAGGGACTTGATCATGATCCCTGGCTAATGTTTCTCGGCAGCGGTTCAGCAGCGGCTTGGAGGGAGAGGGAGAGGTGGATGCAGGTTTCAGGGAGAAAGGGGCAGCGAGGGAAAAAAGAGGGGGCAGGACGAGATCCATTCCTGACGATGCAGGGCCCAACTCACGTGGCTCATGGGCTGAGCTCTGGGCGAAATGCCGGGATCCGACAGAGGAGCCGTCGGAGGTCAGGGGAACGGGCCTCGGGGATGGGGCCGAGCGGCCCAGGGGGGCGCCGCATCCTGGATCCGTAAAGGTGACGCTCTCCACACGCTTGGGCCGGCGCAGCGGTGACGCCTCGGGGTCAAGTCTTGGTGAGCCTCTCAAGGGGTTCGGTGGGGGTGGGGGGTGGGGCGTACCCGTCGGTCGTTGAAAGTAGGTATGTCTGGATTCCTGGATTCCACTCTACTTCAAGAGCCTGCCTACTTCAATGATCGAGTGGCTTCGCCTCTTCCGTCCTCCTTAGGGGGCGGGCGGCACCCAATCTGCTTCCAGCGCTTTCCTACTTCGTGTTTCTGCCTACTTCTTCCGACCGATGGGTACAGGAAATCGCGGCCATGCCTAGGCGCAGCTCGAGTGCCGTGCGGAAAGTGTTGTGTCGGGCGTGTCCCCCTACAGGGGGAGCTTCGACGAAGAATAACAAGTTCCCCAAAAATACCCCAAGAAGGTCAAAACAAGCCCAAAAAATAGTCCCCGGAAAAATGTGGCACTCTTTTTTGATTATTTTGGGGGTATCTTCTTTTTGTTGCGTCGAAATTCCCCCTGTAGGGGGACAGGCCCGACTTCATTCTATGGCAGGGTACCCCATCGTCCGTGCATCGCCCTGGAGAACCCCCCCCGCCTTCTGAGAGGGGCGTTCCCACGGGGCGTCCGAGGGCATCCCAGCAGAAGGGCCGCCGCCCCACTCCCCCGTTTCTCCCGCCCGGGCACCCGCGAACCCGGAAAGGACGAGAATCACGGATCCCCAGGAGAACAGCAGGTGGAACGTTTCAAAACGGGCCTCGCCTGCGAGGATCGAAGAACCTGTCATCTCTCCGAGAATTACGGATCCCCTGGAGAACAGCAGGTGGAACGTTTCAAAACGGGCCTCGCCTGCGAGGATCGAAGAACCTGTCATCTCTCCCCTGTGATCAAAGGCAGAAAAAACGCCCCTACCCTGGTTTACGAGGCGCTGTGCTCTGAAACTCTTGTGGGCTGACAGGGTAAACCCTGCGTGATGTGCCGCGTCCTGGCGGCTCTACGCTTTGGGGGTTCCCAGGAGGTTCACAGACCACGCACTTGTAATCCAGGGTAGGGTCGTTTTTTCATCCCTCAATGTGTGGGGACAGGCCCGACTTCAGGAGAGTGGTGCCCGGCAAGGGGGCCACTCGGCTTCTCCCGGCTCCGCGCGCGGTGTAGCAGTGCCCCGCGGCAGGGCCCGCGCGCCGCGGAGGCGCCGCGGCGGTGCCCGCGCGGGTGCTCGAGGCCGAAGCCCGCCTGAGGAGCGACGCAGAGCATCTTAGGTCGGGCCTGTCCCTCTTACATGGGGGACCTTCGACGAAAAAAAAAACAGATACCCCCAAAATAGTCCAAACATAGTCCAGGGACGAGTTTTGGGGTATGCTTGGACTTTTTTGGGGAGGAGGAGACAGCTAAGTAAGAGGAGGGGGAGGAGCGACCTGGCCAGAGGCTCCAGAACGTCCCCTCTGCGCAATCCAGGCAGGCATGCCTCTCAACACATGATTGCCAAAGCAGCCTCGCATGCACTACGCACACGGCAGGACCTAGGATTAGGTCGGGCCTGTCCCCCTACAGGGGGGTTTTCGACGAAAAATAACAGATACCCCAAACATACCCCAAAAATAGTCCGAACATAGTCCAAAGAATAGTCCGGGGCCTGATTTGTTGGGTATGTTTTGACCTATTGGGGGTACTTTTGGGGTATTTTTAGATTTTCGCCGACAACCCCACTGTATGGGGACAGGCCCGACAAAAAAGAAGATCGGGCTCGACTGCGTGGACAGTCGCGCGCAGGCTGCCCGCGCAAGCTGCCCGCGGAGGCGCCCCCCGTTTCCAGTGTGCAGCGTGCTGCGCCGGCGGCCCGCGCAACGCGCACCGCGCAGGGTCGCCGCTGCGTCATCGTGCGTGCGGCCAGCGTCTGTTCGTCGCTCGTCTGGGGGCTCGCTTGTGGCCGCAACCCGCGGTGCGGAATCTGCCACTACCACTACTACTACTACTACTACTACTACTACTACCACCACCACCACCATCACTACTACTACTACTACTACTACTACTACTACTACTACTACTACTACTACTACTACTACTACTACGACTACTACTACGACTACTACTACGACTACTACTACTACTACTACTACTACTACTACTACTACTACTACTACTACTACTACTACTACTACTACTACTAACTACTACTACTACTACTACTACTACTACTGCTACTGCGATTACTACTACTACTACTACTACTACTACTACTACTACTACTACTACTACTACTACTACTACTACTAATACGACTACTACTACTACTACTACTACTACTACTACTACTACTACTACTACTACTACTGCTACTGCTACTGCTACTGCTACTGCTACCACTACTACTACTACTACTACTACTACTACTACTACTACCACTACTACCATGTGCACAAAAGGTTGGGAGAGCAGCCTTTCGGTTGCCGCCGACAGCGGAGATTGTTCGGGACCGAGCGCTTCGCGCAGTGTCAGCAGCAGAGGCACGGCAGCGTCGAGGCAGAATGGGGCAGTAATCCATGGCTTCCCCAAAGAAGGTGGTGTAGAAAGAGTTGCGTTGAATGGGGCAGCCGTTGCTTCTCCTCCGCCATTCTCCCGTTTCGTTTCCGTACGTGTGTATGTTTGCGTGCCCAGGGGAGTAAAGTCGGCGCCACTTTCGGATCCATTGCGGATCCCGCGTAAAGGCCTCGACACACAGATCCGAACAGGAATCGCCTCCTTGGGCGCCCACAAACGAACAACTGTCGCAACTTACGGAGCCCCTGGGGGCTCCTTCGGAGTGATCGCGACATGTAGATGTAACAAGATGCTGCCACCGTGAATGCTCCTCAACGCAAAGAGCTGTCGCCACCGTCGGAGCCCCATGTGGTGTCCCGCGAAGCGGCACCCGAACGCGTATGCAAACCGCACCTCGCCTCCTTGGAACTTGGCAGCTCAACGAACACTCAGCAGATGCGGAAATCAGGCATCGCGGCGATCGCCAGAGCGGCCGACTCTTTGCAAGTAGCTTCGCCCGCAGACAGTTGTCGTCGCCATGTTGGCTCAAGCGGGCGCGCCGCAGCGCGCCGAGCTCGCCACCGGCATCGGGCCCGATGAGCGTCGAGGAGCTGTGCGAGTCGATTCGCCGGCTCTGCTCCGCGGACGCAGTGCTCGGGGACGACCACCTGGAGGTCGATCCCGACGTCGTGAGGAAGCGGGCCAGGCAGCTGGCGGCACTCGCCGACGCCCTGGAGGCCGCAGCCGGCACGGGCCACGGCAGTCCACGCGCTGCTGCACGGCCAGTCCTGTGCTTGGGCGGTCTGGTTCTGGTTTTGGCCACTGGCTTCGCCTGGTGGCCAGCGCTGAGCTTCAATTTTGACGGCGGGTTCTTCATGGACGATGCCATGATCAAGAAGAACCCCAGCGTGTACGAGCCTTTGGATGTAATGCGCATCATGCGCACGGACTATTGGGGGCTGGAGATGTTCCAGGAGGGCACTTGGACGCACAAGTCTTTCAGGCCACTGACAGTGCTGACCTTTCGGATGAATTACTGGCTTCACACCTTCGAATCCTCGGGCTTCCACATCGCCAACGTGGTGCTCCACGCGATGGCGTCCCTGCTGCTGGGAGTGTTCGGCATCAGCTCCCTGGGGCTTCCTGTGGATTGGTCTATTTTGCTGGCCGGGGCCTTCTTCGCACACCCGGTGCACACCGAGAGCGTCCTGTATATTGTTGGCCGAGCGGACCTGTTGTGCCTCATCCTGGTACTCCTGGCCGCCATGGCATACTCGCCCTGCGCGAACGGGCGCATTGAGAGCCCGGGTGCGGCGGCGGCGCTGCTGGTACTCTCCACCCTGCTGCTGGTCGCCGCGGGGCTCTGCAAGGAGACCGGATTTTGCTTCTTCGGGCTGCTGGTCGGCTGGGAGGTGCTCGGGTGCATCCTCGTGCGGCCAGGCTCGACGGCACGGAGGTGGTCCCACCTTTTGCGTGCTTGTGCGTCGTTTGCTTTCGGCGCCGCAGCGTGCTACTGGCGGCACTGGTACACGGGCGGCACTGGGATTGAGCGGATGGACCCGCAGAGCAATCCCGTCGCTGCGCATACTTCGAGATTTGTACGCACATTGTCGTATGCACTAGTCCATGGGGTGTACGGCAAGCTGTTGGTGTGGCCCTCATTCCTTTGCTACGACTATTCTTTGGACGCCATCCCGTTGGTGTTCGACATTGACGATGTCCGCCTACTGCTCCCGGTCGCTGTGTACTTGGCATTATCGTCGATGATTGTTCTCTCTTTGCGTTCGCTCGCGCGCAGGAGCAGCGCTTCCGCAGCGCCCATTCTCGGCGCAGCAATCCTGATCTTAAGCTTCGTGCCTATGGCGAACGTGCTGTTTCCAGTCGGCACAATGATTGGGGAGCGTCTGCTCTACATCCCGTCCGCTGGCCTGCTGATCTGCCTCGCTGGCCTCGGGCATATCGCCGACGCGAGGGGTAGGTCGGGATCCTGCGGCCTCCTGTTCCTTGCAGCTGGGCTGGCGGGCGCTTGGCGCTGCCACTTGCGAGTGCCAGAGTGGGAAAGCGCAGAGACAATCACAGCAGCCGACGGGATGAGGCAGCTCCGGTCATCGAGGGTGCAGTTTAATTTCGGGAATTTGCACCTGCAAGCGAAACGTTACGACGAGGCTTTAGCAACGTATCAGCGTGCGATTGACGTCGATGATGAGCACTCTGTCCAGGATGCTCTGCCACTTTATCATGCTGGTCAAATTTTGTTCTACCAAGGGAATTACACATCCGCCGTGAATTACTTGGAAAAGGCGGTCACCGGATTTTACAGCCCGCTGGTCATCAAGGAGGAGGAGGTATTCCACGACTACGCCCTCGCCCTCTGGTTCATGGACAGGCCCGAGGACTCCATCCTGAACTTCCAGAAGGCCCTGGCCGTCAACCCCCGCTTCACCAAAGGCCTCAACAACGTGGGCTGCGCCCTGGGCATCGGGGCCCTGACGGGCAAGCTCCCGATGGAGCACTACGAGGAGGCAATCCTCGAAGAAGAAAACACGGCATACGCATAAATTTTCGGGGCTCCTGGCGCATCTCTTGGGGTTGGCATTGGACCCCCTCCCTGGCGCGCCTCTGGCGCCAGGGGCGGCGCCAGAGGCGCCGCCAGGGGGTCCCAGCGCAGATCCAGGACATGCGCGCGGCTCCGAGAGTCCGAAAATCGACGCTTACGCCGACTTCTTTCCCCTTCGGAATCAACGCATTCGACCAGGCAGTGAGGCTGGAGCCCAGCTCGGTCCTGTACTGGCGGAACGCGCTGGCGCTGCTGTCCTTCCGGGGGGACACGCAGCGCGCCCAGGCGGTGCTCCAGCAGCTCGTGGCTGCGGACCCCACGGGCAGGCACGCCGAGCAGCCGCCGACCGACTGCAGCTGGGAGTTCTACTTCCGGTGAGCGGCCGTCGCGCGGTCGCCAGGCATCGGAGGCTTAGAGTTAAGTCGTGCATGTCCCTCTACAGGAGGAATACTCGAGAATAGCTTTCACAAAAGAAGTAGCCTGGGGACGTTTTTGGGACCATTCTGGACCATTTGGGAAGATGTTTGACTATCTTTTAGCTTTTCGTCCAAAATCCGTCTGTAGGGGGACATGCCCGACCTAAGCTTAGAGGTCAGCATCAGCACCGGCATCGGCATTGAAGGGATAGCGATCTTGATTTCGGTGATGATGGTAACATGCGGGCTCCGTAGGTGGCGGAGACATTACCACCAGCACCGAGATCCAGGATGATCTTCCCATGGTGGAGGTAACCCCCTGTGTTGGTGTTGGTGTTGGTGTCAAGTTCCAGGCCCCCCGAAAAATGCATCAGTGTTGAAATAGTTGTGTGGTTGGAAGTAACTCACGATTAGAGCGAGCGAATAGATGCGTACGCATATGCATGTTATAATGCATTATATATATGTATATATATGCGTGTACACATACATATCGATATGTAGATGTGTGTAAGTGTGCATGCGCGCATGCTATGTTTTATATAGATGTCTTTGTGTGTAATGTACACATAAATATAGCAGTGTATTGTGTGTGTGCGTGAATGTGTATATACATGTGTATACCTATGTATATATATATATATATATATATGCGTGTGTGAACCACATCAGATTCACGTCGCGCCTGCGTTAAGCGAGTTCGTTGTTCTGCATGGGTTGCTTGTAGCGGGCGCTATGTGCGCGGTTTTATGTTGCAGCATCTGTGTGTATGCAGAGCGGGCGCAGTTGGACTGTCAAATTCCCCCAACGCGGTGGGGTGTCTAAGGCATAGGGGCAGTGAGCCGCACACGGGTGCCTGGCTCTCGGGTGATGACTCAGGTCGTCGGCAGTTCGGAACGATTCGGGCACCCCCTGGAACGCTCTCGGCCATGCGCAGCTGCTGGAAGGCATCCCGAGGCAGGAGAACGCTACCCAGCTGCCAGCGAAAACGTCCGGAAGCCCGCCCTCCTGGACGAGCCGAATCTCAAACAGCTTTTCCCGCAGCTGCCCTTCTTCATGCGAGACGCCAGCATCATCGCCGCCCAGAAGGAGCGGGCCGCGGAGGCCCCGCCCCCCGCTCTCGCCCCGCCAGGCGCGGCGGCGGTGCTGCTCCTGTGGGGCCGGGATGCACGAGCGGAGAGGTGCAGCCTCCCCTCAGCGAGTCCGACGATGCCACCTCCTCCTCCCCTCCACCTCCTCCTCCTCCTCCTCCTCCTCCTCCTCCTCCTCCTCCCCCTCCTCCTCCTCCTCCTCCTCCTCCTCCTCATCATCATCATCAGCATCATCATCATCATCATCATCCTCATCCTCATCCTCATCCTCATCCTCATCTTCATCTTCATCTTCATCTTCATCCTTCTCCTCCTCCTTCTCCTCCTCCCCGTCCTCCTCCTCCTCCCTTTTCCGCTCTCCTTCCCCCTCGACCCTCGGTAAGACTGACCTTTCGCTGCAGTAGCTTTTGGTGCGGGCCCATCGGGGTCCCCCGATCGCTGAACGCGATGCGACAACAGCGGCTTGTGCGCTTGGATTTGGCCCCCCCATGCGGTCCATGCGCCTCCCCTAAATCTGCGCGTCGAGGGTCACTCTGGCTCAGGATCACTCTTGCGTGTACCCGAGATGGGCGATCTTCTCCTTCCGATCCTGCCCTCTCCCCCCACGTTCCTTCCAGTCCCTGGGGCACGGAGTTTGTCGCCCGTCGTTCATTCACAGCAGGCCGTTTGCGGTCGTGCCGCCATTCCACCACCCTTGGGATGCCGACGGAAGCCTCCCTCGCCCAAGGTGTCCCCAGATTCCGGGCCAGTTTGGGGCCTCGGGTACCCTTCTGGGCCTCGTCCTGGGGCCATGAGGGACCGCCAGGACATCCCTGACAGCCACACGTGGCGCGGCGCTTCGCAGGCTGCCGTCGCGCTCTTCTGGCGAGGTTCGCCAGCCCTTGTCACCATAAGCGTTGGGAAGCCGATCTGGACGGTTGGGAGCGAACCCGAGAAGCGAACAGAGGCACTCGGATAGGAGGGAGCCCACCCAGACTAATGGCGCGGTTTGTTCAATACGTGTGATTTCGGCACCAACGTCGGCATGAGCTTCGCGCCGCAAGCTTTTTTTTTTTTGGGGGGGGGGGGCCGAGGGCCCGGAGAAATGCGTGGGGAGCCCAAACGATGTAAAATTGTTTTTTGACGGCTTTTTAGAACATCGGTGGCTTCGGAGCAGCATTGACAGAGTCATTTGCGGCCGCATGGAGGATGTACATGAGCGACCCTCGAGTAAAGAAGGGTTCGAAGAGATCGCCTTGACCTTTCTTACTTGAGTGGGTACAACGTCACTGAAAAGCAATGTATTCGGTGTCTTCACATGGGCACGCTGCTCGGACAGCCCCCGTCATGCCGAGGTCTATCGGTTTGGTCCTTGCCAGTATGTGCCCGACGGACGCTTAGTGTTGACCGCGAAATCGATTGATTCTCCATCGGTTGGCTTAGGCGCGTGTTGAGTTTTGATTACCACATCGGTCTCCCTCGAGCGAGGTGTTTGCGTGCATTGGGGATGCCGATTTCGACTGCGAGAATGGCCCGATCGGCTGACAGGTGCGCTTTTCGGCGTGGGCAGACCCCCGTGCTGGGCATCGTTGGTTGAGAAGCTTGTGCCCCGAGAGCATCCATCTTCCCATCACACTGACACTGCTTGCCGGCAAGCGCCGCTACCCCTTGTGCGCGTGCGGCTAGAGCCTGGCCAGTGTCCCCAAGCCGCCTCGATGTCGAAGCGCGTGACCAGGGTGGTTGTTTGAGTAAGGCCCTGTGCCCAACTGGTCTACGTGGTTTTGCATCCTGGGCGCGCGTGCAAAAGGTCTCCAGAGGTGAGCGTGTTCCCACAGCGAATGCGAATTGGGGTCCAGTACCCACGAAGTTGCTCTGACGGATGGCCTCACCGAGAAGCCACATTCAGCTCGCAGATTTACCAACTTCCGTCGAACTTCTTCGACCTGCCGAATTTCGGCGGGCTACCACACCATCGCAGCTCACCCCAGCGGTGGCGTGGGCCCCTAAATATGATGGTTTTCATGTCAACAGCTCCTCGCAGCATGTTCGGATGTATGAGAGCCTGAAACAGGGGCGGCAAGGGTGCAGGCCGCGTGGAGGTCAGCATCGCACGTGACTCCGCGGCATTGGTTTTCGTAGCGTTCCGCGGTTCAGGCGTTGGTGCCCTCCACGCAGACGGAGCTATAGCCAGTGAGCTTTACACAACAGTCAGAGCCTCGGTGGTGATATGAACCAGTTGTTGCTCGCTCAGCGGCACCAGCTCGCCCAAAGGAAGAGGTTGGAGCGTTTCGGGACGGTGCCAATCCGCTTGGTTTTGTCGCGCAGCCGCCTTCACTGGTCAAAGCACGCCTCGGTGAGAAGACGCTCGTCGCGGAAGTGTACAACGTCCGATTGTTGTGTGCAGTGAACAGTAAAAGCATGTTCACGAACCGTTCCAGGCTTGTAGGAGGGAGATCACAGCCTCATTAAAGTCTTCTTTGTTACTCTTGGACGATCGGATCCGCCAGCTTTCTTGTAGCTCGGGTTTTTATCTAACCTGCGTTGGTCACGTCAGCGAAGTCCGCAGTCGGGTATTACGCCACGTGTTTCTTCTGCGTGGGATGACGGCGTGGTCGATATTGCCCATGTGGACCACGCCCACGTGTGCGACAGTGCCAGTGGCCACCAGGGCAGCCCTCCTCGCTGCTGCACCCTACAGAAAGCAGTTTTTCTTCGGACCCGCTGAGGAACTCTCGTTACGGTTACCCTGGGTGGTCTGGTAAGCGTGATCGCTCGAGGGATGGGGATAGGCCGTCCCGCGAGTGGTGGGGGATTGGAGGAGGAGGAGGAGGAGAGGGAGGAGGAGGAGGAGGAGGAGGAGGAGGAGGAGGAGGAGGAGGAGGAGGAGGAGGAGGAGGGGGAGGAGGGAGGAGGAGGAGGAGGAGGAGGGCGTGCTTTGGTGGTTCCAGCGCGCGTGCGCAGGGGGTCTGGAGCGCGCCGCTTGAGGGCTGGCACGGAGGGGTATGTGTGAGACCGCGCGGAGTGCCCGTGGTCGATCGCGCAGACTCGTGCGCATTCGGCACAATGCTCTCTGCGGTGATCTGGCCATGCCCGCTGCACGCTGGTGCCCGCCGCAGGAGGCCGCACCAACATCCCGCAGGCGTCGTGAGCAGATGTCAGTGCCCTCTCGGGCCCCTCGGGTCCGTTGGGCCTTGAGCCACCGGCATGCTGGGGAGGAGGGGGACCGAGCATTCGTGCGGAATACAGGTTCCCTGCTGCTTCCTTCTATACAAGCACACCTATAAGTATGTGTGTCTTTCTCTCTCTCTCTCTCTCTCTCTCTCTCTCTTTCTCTCTCTCTCTCTCTCTCTCTCTCTCTCTCTCTCTCTCTCTCTCTCTATATATATATATATATATATGTATGTGTGCATCTATCCGTATATTTCTAAATATATGTGTATAAATGTATAAACATATATACATGTATATATATATATACATGTAAATATATGTGTATATATGTGTATATATGCACATAAATTCACAAATATATATACAGATGGGCATGCTTATATAGGCAGTGTTTACACGATAATGCTGTGAGGTTGATGATGGGTGTGGCCAGGGACGTTGTGCTGTTCACTGCGTCCTCTGCCGTTCTCGCTTTCAGTCCGTTCTGGCCCCGAGTCGGCCTGCATGGCCGACCCGTGGCCTTCGGCGGGCGCGGCGGCGACCCGATCCTGGTTGGCCGGGCTGGCGCGGCCGCCACTGCGGCGGCGATTCGCCCAGCGCACTGGACCTGCTGGAGTGCCAGCTGAAGAGGCGCGGGACCCAGAACCTCCAGCGCCCGTGCCCGCCCCAGGCGGCCTGTCCGCCGGCAGCGTCGTGCCTCGGGCAGGCGCTCGGAGGCTTCCTCGGCGGGAGCCTGCTGACGGCACCAGCGGCCTGCGGCCTCGCGGCGCGGGCAAGCCGAGCGCACTCCCCAGCGGCCCCGCAGGTCGCAGCAACGCTCACCTCGGCCCTGGGGCCGCCCGCGTTCACGTCCGACGGAGACGCGGCCCGCAGGTTCGAGCTTGAAGCCGCGGCCAGGCGGAGGGCAACACCGCACGGCGCCGGCGTCGTGGTCACGGCTTGATGGCGGCGCTCGAGCCGGGCTGCTTCGCGCACGCGAGGTACGACGAGGCGGGGCCCGACGGCGAGTTGTGGCACGAGCGTCTCGTGCTGGCGTGGGCCATTTCCAGCCAGTATGCTGTGCTCTCGCCAGACTACGACATGCTCGTCGAGCAGCTCGACGCCACGAACGTGGACCTCAGCGGCTTGAGGTTCGGAGTCGCGGGCGGCGCCCTGCCGCTGGGGCTCGCGTGGGGCCAGGTGCACCGTTTCGCCATGGCCCCGACGCCGGCCGAGCGCGCGGCGCTGCTAGCGGAGGGAGCGTCGGCGGCGGTCGTCGAGCGGGTTGGCTCAGCCCGCGGGCGCGGCCGCGGCTGGCGGGGTCGGGGGTATCGCTCCCACGGTGGTGCCCCTGCCCCTCCCAGCGCCGCTGGCCGCGCCGGTGGCCAGGGCGCCGCCGCCGCCGCCGCCCGCGCCTCGGCTCGCGGGGGCGGGCGTCACAAGGGTGCTCGACGTCCCCAGCAAGGGCCACTCCGTCGGTCAGGAAGTGGCGCTGCCCGCGGCGGCGCTGAACATCGGTGGGCGTTCGGTCGTGACGGTCGACGGCGAGTTCTGCACTGCGACGAAGTTCGGGACGGGCACGGACGTGGACCGCCGGGCGCGCGAGCGGAAGGGGCTCCTCCAGCGAGGCGAGCCGCAACTGCTGTCCCGCGAGGAGGTTCCTCCCTTCATGGGCGACGCCCGCCTCCTCGTCCGCGATGCCAAGGTGCCCATCCGCCTGCGCGGTCCCGCCACGGTGGGCGACACTCAGAACAGGAAAAAACACATAAACACGAAGGGTTTTACTGGTTTTACGCCGGAAGGGGGCGTCGTTGAGAGGGTGCCTGGCACGGATGCGGGGATCGGTGTGGCGTCGGTCTTTGGAGCTGGCGGTTTGCGCGGCAAGGGCGTCTAGCTGGTCGCATGTGTTCGGAACGCGTGACGGGTGGAAAGACCGCTCACCAGCAACTGGCAGTTCTCTGCCCGCGGGCCAGAATAAATCGTAGCGCGCTAGCAACGGGGTGTCGGAAAAGGGGTTGGGAAGAGAGCGCGGGTCTCATTCTGTCCATCCGATAGGCAGCAAACCATTGTTCTACTCATCTGCCACACGGCCAACCGAACGAACGAACAACTGTTTCGGCGCGCAGTGTTAGCTTCGCTTGCGCGCATCCTGGCTTCCTTCCGTTGCTTCCTTCGCTTCTTTCTCGCCCTCCTCTTCTTGTTCCTTTTCCCCTGCTTTGCCTTGCCCCGCCCTCCCTTCCTTTCCAGCTCGGAGCTGTCGCCGCGCGCGAAGAGCGCAACCCAAAGGGCGTTGCTGTAATTCCTTTGTGTGCCACGAAGTCTCGCGCAATTCCTTTGCGCACGGTCTGGTTAACCTGCCAACGCGGGGGGCACACAAAGAAATTTCTTTCGTGTACGATCGTTTTCGCCGCCCCCACAAGAGCACGCGCGATTCCTTTGTGTAGAGCTTGCTTTCCCGCCTCGAGGAGCGCACGCGGCCTGGCGCTACAATCACAAGGCCGCGGCGCCTGGCAGCGCGATGCAGTTGCGCCGGATACCACGCACAAAACGATGCTGCGTGGATTTCAGCTCTTTTGCCTAAATCGCGCTGGCAGCTGGCCAGCCACATCGCCGACCCTGCATGCCCGCGCGCGCTACTGCGTTCTGCTGCCGCGACGCGTGCTGCTGTCAACGGATGAACAAACTGACGTTGCACGGTGGTTTGGCTGTGCGAAACCACCATGGAATGTTAGTTGGTAGCGGATTTGGGGATCTTGTCGCCGCCGACAGCCTTGCCATGCCATACATGTCAACTGCATCCTAGAGCGCGGCCGTGCATCAACCCTGGTTCGGATCGCTGGGGATCCAGTCGCATGTGCGCACACGCGTTGCACCGTTGGTGGTGCCAAAACCCTTTGTGTGAAATTCCTTTGTGTGTTTCTGCCGGCTCCTAGTCACGGTCGCCGGGCTTCTGGCGCGCGCGCCTGGCGGCTTCCCGGCTTCCCACAAGCGCATGCTGGTCGAGTCGAGGGTCTGCCCCTGGCCCAGGTTCGGCGCACGAGCATCGCGCGATCTCGAAGGCGCTCGAGCCGGCCGTCGGCACCGACGGGCTCAACATCGCCAACCCGACCTCGATGGAGCACCTGAATCGCCGCCGCCAGCTGCTGGAGGAGGCCCACGTCAAGGACCCAGGGAGGGCGGATTTCGAGGGGGCCCACCACTTCATGGGGGAGAACGAGGTCTCCACCGGCGCGCTGGCTGCCCCGCCCCTGCGGGCCCACGCGGCGCCAGAGTTCCCCCGCGAGGCAGCCGTCGAGAAGGAGCGCCGCAAGGCCAAGGAGGCGAAGGCCAAGGCTGCCCCAAGGGGGACCAAGGACAAGGATTGATTCGCACGGACCGAGGCGGCGGGGCCCACGCCCCTCCTGGCGCGGCCGCCTCGTACTCGCCAAGACGCCAGGCACCGATGCTCGGCGCGGCCTGCCCTTCCCAGGGCGCTGCCAGCTGGCCCGTTGCCCCGCGCGTTCGTGGGGGCGAAGCTGCCCGGCGCCGACTGGGGTGCAAGGGCGAGATCTCTCTCTTGCCACTCACCGGGGTGGATGCCCTTCTGAGAGCGGCGACGGCCAGGCCTAATCTGGACAGCGCGGCGCGAGTGGTGGCGCTTCCGCTGGCTCGACCCAGCCGAGCGGGCACCACGTCGGCGCGCCCTTGATAGCCTCGACGAAACCATATGCCTTCACACTGCCCGGGAGGATCCGTCTCAAGCGTCTGAGGCGGGGTGGGGATCAGTCGGGTTTCCCAGATGTCGGCCGGGACTCACTGCATCTTGAGTTTCGTACCGTCTACGCGGGGCATCTTCGCTTCAAGGATTCGATCGAGGCGAAGGAGGGGCGGGCCTACCTGCGGGCCCTGAAGAGAGAGAGAGAGAGAGAGAGAGAGAGAGAGAGAGAGAGAGAGAGAGAGAGAGAGAGAGAGAGAGAGAGAGAGAGAGAGAGAGAGAGAGAGAGAGAGAGAGAGAGAGAGAGAGAGAGAGAGAGAGAGAGAGAGAGAGAGAGAGAGAGAGAGAGAGAGAGAGAGAGACGCCAAGGACGCATCGAAACATAGTACCCTTTGTCTCTATCTCGTCGACAATTTCGCACCCTTCGCCTCTATCTCGTCGACAACTTCGGGGCGCGCTGCTCGATCGAGCGCGGTCGGGCCACCCCCCATTGGCCTTCCAGATATGTCGTCGATCTGCTGCGCTACAACCAGACCCGCACATTGAGGCGAGGCCCCGTCAGATCCCTTCGGAGGTCAACGCTGCCGACGCTCGTCAAGCTCCATCACGTCTCTTCGAACCTGGACACCGAGGCCGTTCGCAGATCCAACCCGGCGCCCCTGGGCGCGCCTGGCGAGGCCACTTCGACGGCGCAACCAGCGACGCCAAGGGCGGCGCTGGCGCGGGCCGCGGCGCAGCGCCGGCCCGCGGGCGCCCCTCGGCCCAGGCCACCTGCCCAGGCCGCTACGCCCGCGCCGCCGGCACGGCGCCTCTTCGCTGGCTCCGCGCTGCCGCGGCTGCGCGAGGTACTGGACTGGCCGCGCAGCTCGCTGGCCCCCCGCCCCCACCTCTCGGCGCGCGAGGAGGCGGCCGCGGGCGCCAACACGAGGGCCAAGCGCGAGGAGCACTTCGCCGCGTTCTCCGAGTTCTGCACGCCCAACCCCGTGCCCGACAACGTCGAGACGCCGCGGGCCAAGCTGCTCGCGACGCTGGACGCGCCGGCGCAGAGCGACTGCCCGAAGCACGACGGGGATTACACGGTGTCGGCGGTGAAGGACGCGTTGCTTTTCGCGGCTGGGGCGGGCTCGATGCCGCGGGTCTCGCGGGCCCCGACGCGGCTCGGCAAGCGGGCTCCGCCTCGCTCGCGAGCCCCGCAACCCAAGGAGGTGATGGCGGCCATCGCCGCGGGCGCGATGGCCAAGGGCCAGCGCGACGCGGCGTTGCAGGTGGTCACGAAGCACTTCACGCACCTGCGCCCCGGGGCGATGAGGCAGCTCAAGGTGGGGCAGATCATCCCGCCCCTGCGCGACGCCGGACCGCTGGGACGCCGGGGGCCACTGCTGGCTCCGACGCACGACGACCCTGCACAGCCGACTACGACGGGGCCCAGGACTCGGACGCTCACCAAGACAGGCACGTCCGACGAGTCGATCGATCTGGACCTCCCAGCCTGGCTCGGGCCCACGCTGGGGGCCCACGCCCGCGGCAGGCGGCCCGACGACTTCATCTCCCGGAAGCTGGCGGCCCGGGTCATCGCCACGTTCCGCAGCCTCGGCACGAGCCTCGGGCTGCATGGCTTGATGCTGCACCAGCTCAGGCACGGGGGCGCCAGCGACGACGCGCTGTCGGGGAGGCGGCCCCTGCCCGGGATGGAGGCGCGCGGGCTCTGGACGCAGGACACGTAGGTCAGGCGCCACGCCAAGCGCGAGCACTGCGACCACCAGTCGGGCGCCCTCGAGAGTGTCTTGCCAGGGACGACCTCGCCGACGCTCCCACCGCAGTGACGGGAGCGCGGCGAGTCATGCTGCTCGAAGCTCGGGGTGGGCTGGGCGGGCAGTTGCACGCGCCGAAGCTGGTCCGCTCGCTCCAGCTGGTCATCAACCTGATGGAAGGCACTCGCGGCGCGGCCCGAGCTGCCGCCCGCGCAGGCGTCGTGGCCCGAAGCTGGGAGCTGAAGGATTCGCCTCTGCGGGACGCCCTACACCCTGTTGTACAGTCTCAGGTGTGGTCCCTCGCCAGACAGGGGCCCCTGTGTCTCGTTTTCATTGCTCTTGTTTGCACTCGCCGCGGGCCCAGAGTTTGGACTCGTCCTGAATGGCCCGGTCCGATACGCGATGCCAGACACATTTTCGGGCTCCCCCATCTCAGCCCCAATTATTCGGTCAAGGTCTCTCTCGGCAATGCCCGGGCTGCCTGGGCCGCGCGAGTTTTCGAGGCCGTCGCCCGCGCTGGCACCCCGATCGCGCTGGAGAATCCTTCCTCTTCCACGCTTTGGTCCCACCCTCTCTTTGTCCAGCTCGTAGGGCAATACTCGTGTATTACCTTTGGCCATTGTGCTTATGGCTCGCGTTTTCGGAAGCGCACTGGGCTGCCCCATGCAAACGTCGACCTCCCGGACGTTGCCACTCGCCACTGCGCCAGTATATGCGTTTGTTCCTTCTCGGGATTTCCTCAGGAGATCGTCGAAGGCCGCGATGAGAATGTACCCTTTCGGTCTGTGCTGGCCACAGAGTATACCTCTAGTTGCTGTGATGATGTAACTCGGCTGTGTAGATCCAAATTCAAAGGCCCACCCTAAGCCTCCCGAGT